GCTGCACTGTCAGTCTAGGAAGAGGCCCACAGCACAGGCAGATATCCACGGTGAAGAATGATACCAAGAAACAGGTACACCAAAGGAGACAATGCTCCAATGTGTTCCTCCATTTGTCAGCAGACTAAGTAGAAGCTAGTACACAAAAAGGCATCCTTGAAATGAGAATTTCCAAGGTAATCTGAGGTGCATTTAAGACTTGTTTAAGCAGAGTGTCTCCTGAGATCCACGCCATGTTGGAGCTCAGGACTCTGGGAAGCCAAGCCAGCATCTCCCCTCCCTGCAAGCGGAGGCAGGGTGGCAGCCTGCAGCCCTTCCAGGGGGAGAACTAGGATTCTCTCCTGAGATCCACGCCATGCTGGAACTTAGGACTCTGGGAAGCCAAGCCAGCATCTCCCCTCCCTGGCAAGCGGCGGTAGTTTAGCCCACTGCAGCCCTTCCAGGGGGAGAACTAGCAGTGTCTCCTGAGTTCCACACCATGTTGGAGCTTAGGACTCTGGGAAGCCAAGCCAGCATCTCCCCTCCCTGCAAGCGGAGGCAGGGTGGCAGCCTGCAGCCCTTCCAGGGGGAGAACTAGGAGTCTCTCCTGAGATCCACGCCATGCTGGAACTTAGAACTCTGGGAAGCCAAGCCAGCACCCCCCCTCCCTGGTAAGTGGTGGTAGTTTAGCCCACTGCAGCCCTTCCAGGGGGAGAACTAGCAGTGTCTCCTGAGATCCACACCATGTTGGAGCTTAGGACTCTGAGAAGCCAAGCCAGCATCTCCCCTCCCTGCAAGCGGAGTCAGGGTGGCAGCCTGCAGCCCTTCCAGGGGGAGAACTAGGAGTCTCTCCTGAGATCCACGCCATGCTGGAACTTAGGACTCTGGGAAGCCAAGCCAGCACCTCCCCTCCCTGGTAAGCGGTGGTAGTTTAGCCCACTGCTGCAGCCCTTCCAGGGGGAGAACTAGCAGTGTCTCCTGAGATCCACACCATGTTGGAGCTTAGGACTCTGGGAAGCCAAGCCAGCATCTCCCCTCCCTGTAAGCAGAGGCAGGGTGGCATCCTGCAGCCCTTCCAGGGGGAGAACTAGCAGTGTCTCCTGAGATCCACGCCATGCTGGAACTTAGGACTCTGGGAAGCCAAGCCAGCACCTCCCCTCCCTGGCAAGCGGCGGTAGTTTAGCCCACTGCAGCCCTTCCAGGGGGAGAACTAGCAGTGTCTCCTGAGATCCATGCCATGTTGGAGCTCAGGACTCTGGTATGCCAAGCCAGCTTCTCCCCTCCCTGTAAGCGGTGGCAGGGTGGCAGCCTGCAGCCCTTCCAGGGGGAGAACTAGCAGTGTCTCCTGAGATCCTCGCCCTGTTGGAGCTTAGGTCTCTGGGAAGCCAAGCCAGCATCTCCTCTCCCTGTGAGTGGAGGCAGGGTGGCAGCCTGCAGCCCTTCCACGGGGAGATCTAGTCATTTCTCCTGAGATCCATGCCATGTTGGAGCTTATCTCAATCTCTCCCTTATTCTTTAAAAAATTATTTAGTTATTTCTTATGTTTGTCTTAATTAAGGGGAAAAATTTAAAAAAAATTAGCATATTTTATAGTAACTCTTTTTGATATCCTATTAACTTGTTTTGAAGTCCTGTAATGCTCCCACGATCTTGTTTTGACTGATTAGACTCTGTTCCATTCTATATGATAATATCAAGTTTGAGGGTATAGGCAACTACTTTGAAGGCAATAAGATTCACTAAGTTGCCCATTCTGGTTTGACTGTTGTCTCCTTTGGAAGTCCTGTAATGTTTACAATGCCTAAGTTTTATTGGTCTTGTTCCCTACTGTTTTGTCCAACTTTATAATATATAATGAGATAGACTATTCTTTTTAAGGAAACAAGAGACAACTTTGATAACCATTGTTGATAACCTTGTACTCTGTTGTACATCATGTGCTATGTCTATCCTTGGTTTTGACTGACAGCTTTGTTTTCCATATTTGACTTTATTCTCTCCCCCCAAAAAAGTAATAAGAACTAAGGAGTAATAAAATCCAAAAAGTGTAAATCTTGTTGTAAAAAAGATAGGGGAAAAAAAAGAGCTCTAACGGATATAACAGCAAGTGTGTTTAGGGGTGTTAAATAGCTGACTATATTAATGTTTTTGGATCATTGAACACAGCTGTTTGCAGTCTCTCTGTTTGAATGTCCACTTTGTATTCTTTGATACTGTGATTTGAGCAACTATTTCCAAGATGATAATATGTAATCTATTAGCAGGTGATTCCTTACTATTATGTTTTTTTTTTGTAGTTCTGTATTACGTGTACCCTTACACTGCTTTGTTTTGTTTTGTTTTTTTCTCTTTTTCCTCTTAAATAAAATTAAAAAAAAAAGACTTGTTTAAGCAATAAAACTTGTTTCACGTTAATTACTTCTATGGAAGTGCTTTAAAATGCACCATGGACTTCCAGCTCTTAAGCAGGCTCAACAAACACACTTCAATCTCCCTTGATGTCCCAGTCACTGGCACAATGTAAATTAGTGGCCGGTGGTGGAACCTACTTCGGAAGCTGATGAGATGTGACAGGCAGTTTGTTCCTGGCCAAATGTTCTCGGTATTCAACTCCAAACTTCCTGTATATGTCTTTTTGCCCTCTGGTTTAGAGTTACTACTTCTTGCTGTGAATCTCTATCTCAGTTCTATGATGAGTACCCTTGAACTTTTTCCACATGATTTCTATGTAATTCTCATTGTGCAAGTAAACAGTTCTTCTATAAGTAAATGAATAAATTATAAGGAGCATTTCTGTTGCTATTTTCTTTTTCTGGGCCAAGTTCCTTGTCTTATCAGATCTTCAAAAGGGTGTACAAGGGACTACTATAGAGTTTAACAGATTACGTAACACTTTCCCCACATAATTTTTTATTTTCAAGCAGGCCTTCCCCTCACCTCCTCTCAAAAGTTACGATGCACTGTGTGAAGGTACACCAAACTCTAATGACTCAAACAACATTTCAGGAAACCTTTATTATGGTAATTGATCACCGATCCTTCAGCCTTCTGATTCAAACTTGCTACAGTGAGCTCCAGGACTTCAACAGGACCTTTAAGATTTCCAGTACACAAACATTTTTCATCTTTCCACACCTGACTCTGCAGGGAGCCACTGTAAGCCAATCTTATAAATTCTTATATATTTGAAAATCTTGCATTCTACCTGTTTCTCTAGTAAGCACTGACTGATACACAGTAATTATAAAAATAAATCAAAAGACATTTTTAATAATTAGTCTTGAGATCAGATGAAAAAGATTTTTAACTTCAATTTATATTACTGTGGCAAAGAAGTCTGAAAGATAATGATGAAAAGTTTAAATCATAAACATATATAAGGATAAAATTCAAGGACAATAAAAGATATACAAGTTCAAAAATAATTAAAATTTCTGACCATTTAGGATCATTTATTTTTAAATTTAATAACATTTAGATTCTATTAGATAAATTTAAAAGTGATATACCTGATTGAAACTTTGTAATATGACAGGAATTTCATATTTCTGGTAGCCATATAAACTTTGGGTTAAATAATGCTCCTTAACTTTAACTTAAATATCTGCAAAGGCATACACAGCTTTTTATTTATTTATTTATTTTTTTGGGTCTTTTTCCTTTTTATCGGTACCGGGGATTGAACTCACGACTGCTTGCTTGCAAGGCAGGCGCTTATGCCACTGAGCTAAATCCCCAGCCCCGCATACACAGCTTTTGCAAAGTGTTCCAGGGAAGATTTGAGTGAAATACTTGAAGATCGTTGTTCTATACAGGCACTTCGTTATAAGTAAGTTATCCATCTAAGAGAAGACTACACAACAGAGCAGAAAAAACATGAAACTCCAATGCTAGTCTCCCTCAATAAACTGACAGTCTTAAACAGCTGCACCTTTTCTGAATATTCCCATTGAAAGTACTGCAAGTAACAGATACAACTTGTAACATTTCTTTACTATATTTGGGGTTGAATGAATAGAATGAATGGTGAACACATATCAAATTGCATCATTTGATACTGGAAAATTATAAACATATTTTTATTAGAAATCAAACACAAGCCATACAATTCAGACATAATCAGATATCAAGTCCCCTAAATTATAAAAGAGAAACCTTAGTATTTAAAAACCTTAGCCAGGCATGGTAGTGCATGTCTGTAATCCCAACATTCAGAAGGCTGAGGCAGGATGATTGCCACAACTTTGTGGCCAGTTTGGACAATATAGTGAATTAATGGCCAGCATGAACTTATACAGAAAGACTGTGAAGGGAAAAAACAAAAACCAAAAAACACTAATATGTTAGGGAACAGATGAATGAGATTAAAACAGCAACAAATATAGTACTGTTTTTGACTTTTTCCAAGAGAAAAAACTGGTAAGTGAATGGAATGAGCCTGGAACAATGGGGAAATCTCAAATCACTCTGCCATTTTAGTGTAAGTAAAATTTCACTTTAATAAATGAAATAAAGTCAAATCTTCATGAAAATTTAAGTGCTCAAAAATACTGATCCTTCCAAATATTAATTCTAGTTCTTTTGTAAGTCAATATTTTTCTAAGATACTCGGTAATTCTGTAATTTTCTCATCCAATATAGTTTTTAAATTTTACACAATGGACACAATATCACCAAAAACCATTCTTACCTTCTAACTAATTTTGGTAGTAGTTACGGACTAGTTCAGAGGGGACACATCTATGGCCTGGTCACACTTTTAAACTGTACTTTAACTGCTATAAATTAAGTATACTTATCTGAATTGCTACAATGCCAATTTAAAATAATGTAAAAGGGTGAGAGCACTCATATTTTCATATTTTATTGAAGTATAACAAGCATATAATAAACTACTTGCACTGGCAATGCATAATTTGATAAATTCTGATGTGTATACAAATTTAACTTCTGAGAACCCTAATATCCTCCTTTAGGTAAAATATTAAATTGGATTTTTGTTGTTTGAGACAAATACTTACTTTCATGTAATTCACAATCTTAGCAAGGACTCCAAACTTATATCCAGAGCTTCCTGATAGTGCTTTGAAGTGAAATGATCCATTGCTATGAT